GGAAGAGAGGAGGAGAGAGAGAGAGAGAGAGAGAGAGAACGAGAGGAGGGGAGAGGGGGTGGAGAGAGGGGAAAGAGAAGTGAGAGGGTGAGATGAGAGAGTGAGAGGGGAGAGATGAGAGAGTGAGAGGGAGAGTGAGAAAGAGAGTGAGAGAGTGAGAGAGAGAAGAGAGAGAGAGAGAGAGAGAGAGAGAGAAGGAGAGGAGAGAGAGAGGAGAGAGAGAGAGAGAGAGAGAGGAGAAGAGGAGAGAGAGAGAGAGAGAGAGAGAGAGAGAGAGAGAGGGAGGGAGGAGAGAGAGGAGGAGAAGGGAGGAGGAGAGGGGAGAAGGGAGAGAGAGAGAAGAGAGGAGAGAGAGAGAGAGAGAGAGGAGAGAGAGGAGAGAGAGGAGAGAGAGAGAGAGAGAGAGAGAGAGAGAGAGAGAGAGAGAGAGAGAGAGAGAGAGAGAAGAGAGGACTGCTGACTACCAGGCAGATAGACAGGCAGACAGACTTACATACAGCAAACAAAGAAAAAAATTATTCCGTAATACATATAACTTTACACAGATTCCTACGACATAAACATATCCATTCCAGATTTCATTTGGGCTCCATCTGGTACACTTTCCACGCAGCCAAATAATACAACGCAAACTTTGCTTACAATGGATAGAACGACAGAAATAAGGCACTTTTCATCAATAACATTTCCTTCTCAAGTTAATAATAAGAAAGTTGTGCAACACGTAATAATCTATACATTTATAAGGAAATGCAACGACACTTTCATGAAGGAAGGGAAAAACTACACTCCCTGGTAATTAAAATGATCTGCGAAGATATAGAATAACGTCAGAAATTAAGAAAATGGGTTGTGACTCATGCTACCGCGACTGGAGGGAGGGGGGGGGAGTCGGGGGGGGGGGAAGTTAGAGTTCACATTTAGCGAAGTTTGTTGATTTCCGAGGACTGGCTGGAGTAATTGTGGCTTAGGGCGTGAGTAATATCATTTGCGATGGAAAAATAATATTCGCGTATATTATAATGTAGATAATAATCATTGAAACAAGGAGAAATAATTGCAAGGTTGGATGGTTGTGCGAAATAAATAAAAAATCCGAATTTTCTACTTTATATATATTTCATGCGTAACTAAGTAAAATCGACTTTTTTTTTTTTTTTTTTTTTTTTTTTACTTAATATGTTTTATGTTTTACCTGTGGCGCTCGTGACTAAATATGAGGAATGTTTATCTACAAATCGCTGTTGCCAATCACGCCTGACATCACTAGGCACAACTACCTGGACAGTCGAAGTACAAGTTGTCTTTCTCACTTCCTCTTAATCATTCTTAATCGTTCTTAATCATTCCTATGTTTTATTCGCTGCATTTTTCGATTAATAAGTATAAGATTATTCATGCAAATAGTGTAATATATTTCCGAATGCATATATCGCTTTATTTAATGCAGAATATGTATTTTCAAGGTTTAGGCACAAACTGCAAACAAGCGAGTAGGTCGTACAGTTGTAAACCGAGCAGAAATAGTCCGGGTAACGATGAACAAAACACAAAATACGATAAAATTTCGTTCAATGCTCGAGTGATGGTAAATAGAACACAAAATACACTAAAGTTCTGTACAAAGCTCGGATAACGCTGCACAGACCACGAAACAAAGTAACATCTCGTACAAAACTCGGTTAAGGATACACAGGAACCCAAAAAACAGAAAAAAATTCTATACGGTTGAACACGACCCACCAAGGAGACGAACCCCCCCGCACGAAGCAGTGTCCGTGCGACCACTTCCGCGACCGCAATGACACTGGCTCGCTCGCTCGCTCGCTCTCTCGACCCCGATCTCGACGCCGCGCCTCTGGTCACGTGGTTTCGATGTTCTGATAACTTTCCTGTTTTTTTCGGTGCATGTGGATGATTTGAGATTGAGGGAGGGAGGGTGGGAAGGAGGGAGAGGGAGGGAGGGAATAAGGGTAGGGGGGAGGGAATGAGAGGGAGAAGGAGTGAGTGTATATGTATGAGAGAAAGAGGGGGTAGGAAGAGGGGGGAGAGAGAGTGTTTGTGTGTAAGAGAGATAGAGAGAAAAATAAAGAGGGAGGAGAGAGAGAGACAGAGAGAATATCTTGGTAGAGAATATCTTACATCGATTTCCGCAAAGGTCAATCCGTATTTTGTATACCTCATTGTCACTAAGGTCGTTTTTTCTTCTTTTTTCATTTCCGATCGGGTAATTGAGGTCAGGTTCTATATCATTTTCTTCGCTGCATGTCAAGCATTCCTCGGGAACAATACCCTTTAACAACAACAAAAAAAGAGAAAAATCTGGGACGATAAACAATTCCGTAAAAAATGATGGATTTTACACGCCTCCCCAATGGAAAACAACGACCACCGCAAAATCATATGTTTCCGCGCCATTCAACGGCGTTCGCGTATGAGTCAGCGGATTCACGCGCCAAAAATAACTCCTCCGACCGCCATTTTACCCCCAGCAACACAGAATCAACCTCCTCGGAGAATAAAAGGACGAAAAAGAGCCTTGCAAACTCCCCAAAGACAATACCAAAATGCAAACAATTAAATGACCTTATTATATGAAACACAGAAGTAAACAAAACACTTACCGTAGATAAACTGGCCTTTCAATATGGCCTACTGTATACATCGCTCGAGAAGAGAAACCCACGTACAAACCAGAGATACTAGCAACAAGAAGTGTAATCTGTAATCTAAGGCGTGTGACAGGAAGCTCCAAAGGTTGTCATAAACTATTCACGATTGACATTTCTAAGGGGGGTAGGGGGAGGGGTGTGTGGAAGGAAGAGGAGGAAGGGGTAGGGGGGAGGGGTACCATAAAAGGTTAGGTTGAGCAGGTAGGAATTTAAATGTTCTAAAGTTCGAGCCTAAAGTTTGTTGTTGTTGTTTTCTGTATGAAAGTATAAACCTTGATGTGCTTTTATTTCTGCATGTAGGCTAACATTTGTGTAATATCGATCAAGGTTTAAGTGAATTGAAGGAAATTATGAAACGATGATAAGGTAAAATAATGTTGAATCGACAAGAAACATTAAGTTTCTGTAACTTTTTCTACCTTAAAATCCCACGAGCGATTGTCATATATGTGCATGCACGTGCAATATTGGTTATAATGATAACAACAATATATAATGATAATAAATTCAATGCGGAAAATAGATGTAATGATAATAACAGAAATTATTATAACTATAATCATAATCATTATTACTATTGGCATTATCATCATTATTGCCATTAGTAGTAGTAGCAATATCACTGTTACTGTTATTATCATCATCATCATCAGTATTACATTTTTTATGCTTTTGTTCTTTTCATCATTATCATTATTTATAATATCATTATTGCCAGTATCAATGCTGATTATATTGATGTGAATATCAATATCAACATTAATTTACTACTATTGTGATTATCAGCAATATTATCATTACTATCTTGACCATTATTACTGTTATCACTATTCTGATCATTGTCATTATCATAATCATTATCATTATCATCATCATCATTCCGCCTCATCATCATTAACATCATTACTGTTATAACCACGATAATGATACAAATAAAATAGTAAAAATGATGCTAATTGATAACACCAACACTAATGACACCATTATCCTCCTTATAAAAAAAAAGATAGTAATGATAACAAGAATACCTAGAAGCAGAGACCGCATACCTCCAACATGGCGATATGATGATAATAATTCACGCGGAAAAAGTGTCCTTTCTCTCGCAATGCTAAACATTATAATAGTTACCCCCATCATCACGACAATAGGGGTAACTGATGCAATCATTATAATAATTCATGGATCACCACCATCTAAGTTGGGCGAAGATATACGAGCTGGTAAAAATTCATAAAAATTTTATATTTTTGGTTATAGTGCTAACCAACAAACTAACTAACCAACGCTACCAAAAAATATCCTCCTTGGTGGAAATAATGATGTAATTATTTTATTATCATGAAGAAAAGGAAGAGAAAAGGGGATAAGAGAATGAGCAGAATAAAGAGGAAGAAGGGAATGAGAAAGAGAAGAAGGAAAAGGAGAACGAGGAGACAGAAAAGGTAAATGGAGAATGAGAAAGAGAGAGAAAAATAAAGAGGAGACAAAAGACGAGGAGAGGAAGTGGGAGAAAGAGAAGAAGGAGAAAGAGGAAAAGTAGATGGGGGTATAGAAGTAGATGGAAGCAAAAGACGAGGAGAGGAAGTGGGAGAAAGAGAAGAAGGAGAAAGAGGAAAAGTACCAAGAGGTTAAAGAGGCAGAGGATAAAGCAAGGAGGAAGAAAAAGCAGAAAAAGATGCAGAAGGATGAGGAGGAGAAGAAGAAAGAAAAGGAGGAAAAGGAAAAGAAGAAGAAGGAAAGGAGGAGAAGAAAATAAGAAGGAGGAGGAAGGTGGGGGGAAGTGGAGAGAGAAGCAGAAAAAAAAATCAAAAGAGAAAACAGACGAAATTAGAAGGAAAAAGACGGTTGGAAGAGGAAGAGAAAAATGCCTAAAGCAAACATCAAAAGCACTTACCTTTGCATTTTCAGTCCCTGTGATGACGTCACCAACTACGTCACTCCCCCTCTTCCCCCTCGACCTGCAGGAACGCAACAGGAAATCAATATAAAGGGGCAATAACATGCATTTATAACACGTGGACCAACTTCCCCGAAGCCGTGAGGCCCCAGCACTGGATTATGTATGTATGTATGTATGTATGTATGTATTTATAAATGATAATACATGCATACATATACATACACACATATACACTTATACATACATTATATACATATAAAAATAAAACATATATCTATATTCATATAACACATATATGATATATATGTATATATATATATATATGTATGTATATATATAGATATATAGATACACATATACATACATACACACATACACACATATACACATACACTCACATACTTATACGCACATCGACCAGTATTTCGATAATTTGATAACTATATAACCCGACCTTTACCTATTTCGTCTCTTCATCAGTATTATCACCGTCTTATCAATGTATCTATTATATGACCATTATCCCATAAGCCTGTTTACCCATCAATGTCAGTCAGTCACTCAGCCAATCAGTCAGTCAGTCAGTCAACGGTTCGATCAATCAGACCCCATTCAATGACCTAACCACGTAATCACCAGTCCATTCAAGATGTCCATCAATAGACACCATTGCTGTCCTACCATTAATATCATAAGACATGAATCGTATAAGCTCTGAGTGTGTAGAGATTGGCAATGGATAGAGAGAGACGGAGGAGAGAGAGGGACGAGGAAGAGAGGAGAAGCAGGGAGGAAGGGAGAAAGAGAGAGAGAGAGAGAGAGAGAGAGAGAGAGAGAGAGAAGAGAGAGAGAGAGAGAGAGAGAGAGAGAGAGAGAGAGAGAGAGAGAGAGAGAGAGAGAGGGAGGAGAGAGAGAGAGAGAGGAAAAAGGGATGTGCAGATGAGTGGACATGAATCGTATAAGCTCTGAGTGTGTAGAGATTGGCAATGGATTTATCTTTATCGACAAGTGTGTACGTTTTGGTATAAATATCCTGTAGTTTATGGTACCGTTATAACTAATCGTTATATGCTTGGGTCGTTATGGTTAAGGCTAGATGTCGATGTCACAAGCGTGTAAAAAAATGTGAAAAATCGTGATTGTATTGGGGCGTACAGGTATGTATGGAATATTTGGAACGCTAAGTGGCAAGGTAAAGGTATTCAATGTACAATTGATAAAAGAGACATCTACTTTACATATATTTATATATATGTATATATCTATATTTGTACATATGTATATATATATCTATTCGTACACACACACACACACACACACACACACACACACACACACACACACAACAACACACACACACACACACACACACACACACATACACACACACACACACACACACATACACACACACACACACACACATATATATATATATATATATATATATATATATATATATATATATATATATATATATATGTGTGTGTGTGTGTGTGTGTGTGATTATATGTATATATATGTAATATGTATATATATGCATATGTATTGTATATATATGGAAGAGCATAAATTTACTCTATTTCACTTCAATATATACTTCAGATAAAGGGCGTGGCACATGCAACTCGCCTCCCCAAAATGGCTAACTATATCCCAGGGGTATCCCATGCTCCCCCCCCCCCCAGCTTACCCTCACTCTCATGAACACGCTCTTAAAGACAAAGACGATACACCTATATGTAGGTAGTCTAATTCAATGATTATCAATTTTATAGTCAATATGCCACTGGTAAGCCGGCATCTAGGTCAATGCACTCATCAATGTTTTATTTTCCTTCATTCTTTCAAATGCTTTTTGTAAAATTCTACAGACTGACTTCGACGCAGGCAGGGGAAGGGATACGTAGATAAGAAACTCTAAGGATGTGGTACGCTGCACTTCATTACAAATCAGTGGTTTTCAGGAGGGAAATATCACGTCGGTGGCATAAAATTTGTCTTTTCTTTTGTCATGTTTCTTGTCTCATATTATGATGAAAAAAATTACACAGACGATTTCGGTTATTAGGATTCCTAGACATGGAAATATATTTTTTCTTGAGGGTAAGGTGACAGACTTACGTTGGGTAAGATTAGCATTAAAAATGTTCATATGGAACTACGCCCAACATTAGGAAGAGTTTTTTTATATTTTGTTTTCGTAAATTTTCAGAATAAAAAATGA